AAAATCAACAGACCTGGTGCTGAATGATACAAACATTGAATATAACTATTTCCAGTGTATACAATGTTTGCTTTCATCATTAAAAAAAAAAGCTTGTTTTAGCACATATACAGTATATATTCCTTCACTGCAACCTTAAAAAGGAAGATCCCAATTATTTTTGCACTGAGTACAAAAAAAAAACCAGAGGCATTAAACTCAGGCTTTAAATCTTAAAAATGCATTTGTGGTACCTTAACTATTAACAGAAATGTATCTTATTTGTGTGTCACTCGGCTGCAGATCCTCAAATCATCTCTGAATTTGTGCTGACACTGTCATTCCTTCTGGAGGGTGAATACCTTTGTTCTGTGTGTGTTGTAAAGTTGCCACCGCTCTAAGCTCACTCCTGTGATGGACTACAATCTCAATACAAATTAGTAAACTAAATGTGAGATTGTAGTACATCACCGGAGCGATGCCTACCTTACAGGATCTACAGCCGAGTGATACACAAATAAGGTAGAGTATTATAGATGGCTAAAAGGTACTTGCGTTCTTTTCAAGATCTACCTCCTGAGTTTAGTGTCACGTTACATATGGTCTGACATCAAAGCTGGTCTACATGGGGAAATATAGATTTCCCACAAGGAATTATATAAAGACTTATATTGAGGCATTCCTGCTTTGTTTGTCTTTCTCCTCTATTTTTACCATCTTCCGTCACAGCCACTGTTCAGAATACACATTTTATTTGTCCACCATGACAGAAGATGGTAAAAATAGAGGAGAAAGACAAAGCAGAAAATGTACCAGTAAGAATGTATTTTACATTAGTGACCTCACTCTTTTTTGTAGACATGTAAAGAAATCTTTTTTTAAATGACACAGATGAATTGTATAGGAAGCAACTGAATGTATACATATGTATTCCTAATAACAAAGGGAAGTGTTGAAAAGATGTGAATACACTGCCCTCTGCAGGTTCAATAAAGTATGAGCAGAATCTTTTAAAACAATAATGAACAATATTGCCTCATCGTGGATAGAACACAGCATTACAATCTTTAGGTTACATTCACAACAGGCTCAAGAAAAAGGGATGTTGGGTCTATTCCTTTTCCTTTTACAAGACTGTTCAGGTGGTGATTATGAAGGCAGATCCTCCTAGTGAGCAGTCAGGTTGTGAAAGGGTATGGAAAGATTTGTCAGTTTCTCTAAACTATATACTGAGTTTGGGGTCAGAGGAGGAGGTTAGTATACATGACCCTAAAGGGAACTCTGGGATAAAAAGGTTACCTCATAGTTCTCTTTTAACCACTTCAAGACCAGGTGTTTAGACCCCCTTCCTGGCCAGGCCATTTTTCAGTATTCAGCACTGCGATACTTTGACTGACGTTTATTCCGTCATGCAACGCTGTACTGAAATTAATTTTATATCATTTTTTGGGGACAGATAGAGCTTTCTTTTGGTGGTATTTAATCACCACTGGGGGTTTTATTTTTTATTATAATTAGAAAAAAATTACTGAAAAATTTGAATTTTATTATTACCCAGTTTTTTGGTCAAATATAAAAGATCGGGTCACATCGGTTAAATAGACACCAAACATGTCAAGCTTTAAAATTGCGCGCACCCGCGACATCGCAGAAAACGACCGCAACCAAAATTAGCCATAGGCGTATTAATCGGGCAAAGAAAAATAAATTAAATCTCTTTTTTTTTTTAAATGAAATACACAAATGGGAGTGTTTACAAGCAAAGTTTACTTCAGAATCAAACTGCATGCACATTCTTTGCAAACGCACGGCAGTCCAGTACTGTGCATTCAAGTGCGGGCGATCACACTGTGGGCGGGAGGGGCGTTTGGGGTGCCATTGAAATAAATGGCACCACAATACACATCCTGCAGCAGAATTTGTCAGGCCGAAACCAAAAATGACTTTTCCCACTTTTTTATATATTTTAATAATTGTATATATTAATAGCCAGGCCATGAGTTTAGAGTTAACCATGAATATTGGCCGGAAAACTATTGCTCTCACTCTGGCGCACGCGGCAATACCTAAAGTGTAGCGCAATTGCAGTTTTCATACGTAGGCGCACCCAACTTTTGTTACTGTTAATATGTGCACGTTTGCGGGTCGGAGGACTTTTTGGGGGGCATTTTAAATTTTTTTTTTACTTGGTTGCTATCACATGGAAGGGGGGGGGGTTCACAAA